TGAAGAAAAAGTAATTTCTTTCAAATGAACTTGATCCGTTTGCTTATCAGTTAAAATAGTGAAAAATGTAGAATGTTTGTTTTTAGGAAAGAAGAACTCAAGGAGGACAAAAATGAAGCAAAGATTGGAGCAGAGTGACGACTGATCCGACATAAAGATTCTTCTTCCTTTTATCTGACATTTATCGTCTTTAAATGGACACTGGTATTACTTTGCATAGACATTTTAATTTGTTTAAAAGTCAAGAAGTCGTTTTGGCATGCTTTTTTAAACACGACTGAGTCGAAAGCGTGCAACAAAGAAACCTGCAATTCGGCCGTTAGATCAATTAATTATATCATTAGAGAACTAAAATAAACATTGGGATGAACGCAGGAAAAAAACTTATCTTAAAAAATGATAGAATGTTGGCAGAGTTGTGTCAAAACTTAAAATTGATCCTCGGTTTACATCACCATGATCTGGTTTTCAATTCTCTCGTAGCATGCAGACGCGATCATCAAAGAGTGATAACATAACAAACAAACGGAAGAGAAACGTAGGCGTTACTATATCAAAATCTAAAAGATAAACGGAGAAGGGAACAGACAGAGTGAAATTTACTTAAAAATCAGCAACAAACAGAGAAGTGAAAAGAAACGATATCCAAATTGTAAAGGTAAAATTAGCCTGAAATATTTCATAAGATACAAGCGCTATAGTCGAATAGAAAAGTGCAAACAGCTGGTAGGAAATTAAGGTGACAATCAGCCAGAATTCAGAAAAAAAGTTCCTGGATAGATTCTAACGTAAGAAACAAATACAAATTGAAAAATCAGCGGGATAGATATTAACTTAGAAATTAAAATAGAGGAGGAAAAGTATTGTAGAAGACGAAGCAAAGGAACAGCTCATGAATCATTTTTACGAACACCTTGTGCGTGGAGAAAGCGCCAGTGAGTCTCTTCACCAGGCCGTTCAATGGTTGAATAATTATAGCGAAAATTGGTTACCGTTAATACCGTTGTATTTCAGTTTCTTACTGTGGGTTTTATTAGTCATACGATTGGAATATTAAACAAGACAGGCTTCTTTTTTAAAAGGTTAGTTTAAAAAAAATAGATTTAGAAACGATCTTTTCCCGCTTTGTTGCTTGCAATTTTCCTTGCCCTTATCATAGTCTTCAAAGTAAAATGATCCACTCATCTCGAGACCTTTAACTTCCATAATCTCATTTTCAAGTCTCCTTTCTAAATATAACAAATGTCACTTTAAATATTTTTAGAGAATGAAGTGTTACGTCAGTCTAACACCGTCAAGCTGATAAGTTTCTTTATTCTCTAAAACTGTTGGCTGAAGAATATATTGATTCTGTAGGGAGAAATTGCACACTTAACAATTATTAAGTGTCCGAGTCTGGGACTGAAAGAAAAAAGTTGGAGAACGACGTAGTGGTGTTTTAGCTTTTGTTCTACCGATTATGCGGTTACTATTTTCACAAAAAGTCATTGTCATTCATTTCTGTTTTGCAGGGAAAGTGTCATTTAAGTGTCTTACTCTCGGCTTCCTCGGTCATTTAATGAAAATACTGAACAAGACACACTTCCTTCACTTTACAAAGCAACAAAGGATTCAAAGAGTCGTGGTAAGTACGATATTTAATTGCTAAGCGACATCTCATTAATTTTACAATACATATTTTAGGCTGCTCTAAGAAAGACGGTAATCGTTGCTGGTGTTCGTAATGTAAAAAATCGACAAGACAGAGCCATCCGAAATTGAAATTTTTTGTGGTAAAAAATGTTCGTCACATGGACAATAATTCTTCTTATCATGTGAAAAGAACAAAGATGCAATGTTTTTAATGCAATTACGGAGAAGTTAGAAAGCGACGTAGTAATGTTTAGGGTTTTCTGAACATTTTTTTCCGATTAGAAAATTGTCATTTCAGTTTCTTACTCTCGGCTTCCTCAGTCGTTCAGTCAAAATACTGAACAAGACACACTTCCTTGTTCAGGGGTAATCAGCAGAAATAACGAAACAAAATAGCGTACATTCCTTTCCCCTGTCGTCGCCCCCTCAAATCAGGCGCAACAGAAATCAAATCCAAGAACAGCAAATCTTGATTTTAAGAGAAGGAGCCACAATGTTTGTCAATGAGCAGTGTGAGCAAAATGGAAATTCGTATTGATACAACTCAGACCAAGATACTACCAACTACAGTTTAAAATCTCGTTGCAGACATTTTAACTGATTTTTTTAACCTATCAAACTCAACGCTTTGTTCTTAACTGAAACGAGCTGCTTGCAGTTATCTTTGTTTCTTATGGCTTTCGGTCTCATCTCTCAAACAATAAAACCCGTGTTTACTTTTAAAAAGGTTAGCACCTGAAAAAAAAAACTCGTTTTTTCAAGAGAAATATATATTTCGGATATAAATTAGATTTGAGAAATTTAAGTGATAAAAAGGTTCTAATTCCAAAGAGTCTGATAATATTTGTGGAGACCTACTAAATTCAAATCAAATTTTGACTTGACTAAAAAATATTTAAGGTCTGCGTCATGCACGTTAACCCTTTGAATTTATAATCGTATTAGTAATTCTTCCATTTAGCTCCTTCACTTTACCTTGTTCGTCAGTAGGGAGAATATGGTTTTGTTTTACGAAAACATCCTCAGTTGATAAGTGTTCTCGCCGCTTGTTCACTGCGTAATATGTTGAATTTGGAAAGAGAAGCAACATGTTCGTCACTCCTGTAACTTGAAAGTTTTTAAGAAATTGGAGAAAGGGCAATGTTAAACCACTAAACTATTATTAATGATTTGAAGACTCCAATATTTTTTTTGATATCTTATAGGCAAGTTGTAATGAAAGTTCCAACCTTCTTATGTTTTTACATTGATCACTTTTTACCAATAATTTTCATATTCGATCTTTCACTGGCTCTTTGCATTCTTCATTGCTTTTCAGAGATTTTTTTAAAATTAGTTTCTTGATTTTGGTATTCTACCTACCCAGAGATCGTTTCTTTTTCCAAGGCGAGAGGCTAAATGTTTATTTTAGAAATACAGTGCGCTTAAATGTTTATAATTGCAACTTAATAATGATAGAGGTAACACCCTCTACATGATGAGTCTGTTTACTCTTACCACTTAATTGCCGTATGATATATTGATATTGTAAGGAGAAGCTATATGTTCATCATTTCTGTAATGATGGAAAATAAAAAGATGCCATATGTTATTTAATGAATCTTATGAGAAACCTGAGAAACAATCTTTCTTCCATCTCAGGTTTTCTTTTTTTCATTGTGGTGATTTCTTATTACTAACGTGTAAGTAAAATGTTGTTACGCAAGCTATTTGTATTTACGTTTGTTTCTGTGGGAAAAAAATCTCATTTCATATTTTTTACTTGTGTTTCATTAGTCAAACCATCGGAGTCTGACGGCAGAGTCTGTGTTCAAAGGTAAGCCCCCGGTTTTTTATAGTCAGTATATTTCTACATTTTGATTGCCTCTTAGTTTCATTTTTGGACACAGTTGAATGGTTTCATTCTTCGTTTTATTACAGATTGTAATTTTTATTTCGTTGAATTTATCTCCATCAAATTTGTCTTCCACGCAACGAAACTGATCTACGTCGCGTAGATGGATATCTTCGTATTGATTAAAAATTATTAATTCGCCTCGATTCTGAGTCAAACAACAATGGACATCATAGAGAGTTAGTCCCCGAGTGAGAGGACTCGGCGTGAGACTCATGATCCTGACAGGATTTCATGTAAGAATTTCATAAAAATTCACGCGTCACTTATTTGAAAGGCAAAACTTCAAATCTCTTGGCTTGTGTAGAAGGTTCTTGAGGATTTCACGAGATGAAAGAAGAAATTCATGGGTAACATATTTCAGGAGGCAAATCACGCCACACACTAAATCATGAATTCACGAATCACGATCGCTTTTCTGTAAAATTCACGCGTCAAATATTAATTTTGGCCTTAATCAGGCGTCACGTGTAAACCCTTTGGCATCCCCCTTTTGAAATTCAATTTGACAGCTTTTGTATGACATCTCAATGAAGCACAGAAATTTGAAATGCAATTTAAAGTTTCGCGCGAATGTGATAGTTTTCATAATTAATTGCCAAAACAATTCAAGCAAGGAAAACCCACTTCCTCCAAGTCGACCCTCTTAACTGCCAACCACTATAAAGTGTGAGAAGAACTGATTTTTCGAATCTTAATATAACTTCCAGTAGGACAAAACACGGTGAAAGAATGCCAATAAAAAGGAAACACCTTATCTACTTTTATATTTTAATTGTCAAGGGTCGATATGAATTGTATTCATTCAAAGAATCTTCAACTTTAAGCTGAGAATCAGGTCAAGTAAAGACTACAAGTACGAGTACGACTCGAGCTGAAGCAAGTGATAAGAGCGTGCATGCAGGCGGAAAAGCGCCTGTGCAAGATGAGTAGAAAATAAGAACCTCCTTTAAAAACTGAATAAAATAGTACCGCCACCTCCCGTTCACGGAATAAGTGACAGCTTGCGCTTGATCCTCTCTCCTGATTAAAATGACTGAAATTATTTTCTTCTAGAAAAGTCAAAACATTTTTTTTTTAAACTGATACGTACGAAAGACATAAATGCTATTATTTCAATTTAAAAGTGGAAGAGAACCTACTTCCTCGGCTGAAAGCGTTATTGAAATTCTGTCCTGTTTCAGCTGCCAGGCAGCTTGGTGATCTGTCCAAAACACGCGCGTGACGCTTGCGACGCGTGGAAGGCGCCATTTAAATCTTTCCATCCTATCCCGTCCTATCATCGTATGATCAATAGAAGTTCCAGAGAAAATCATGTTGATGCACATTCTTTGAGTTGAATTCAAATATTTGTCGACTTTTTCTGCTAATTTAAACAATCTCAGTGGAAATGATCAGTTTTTATTATTTCAACTTTTTAAAGTTTTCTTTTTTGCTAATTCTTTGTCATAACAACAAACAGGAAAGATTCGTAATGAGTGACGCTGCAGAAATCCTAAAATCAGTCGAGTTTGGTTTAAATGTCGTCATATTTCTTCTCAACACTGATCGTGGCCCACAAGCGACTGAGTTGTCTAATGAATGTGCAATTCTACTTCAAAACCTTGACTGTGGTAGTCAGCTTGATATCTTCGATGTAATATCCAATGCATACTACGGCATCTCTGGTAACACAAGTGCGGAAAGATATACCAAGAAACTTCTTTACACGTTTCACCACGCTGGAAGACTAACCTTCCAACTGGGAGACAAATATGAAACACAGCGCCGGTTTGTTGAGGCAAAGCAACTCTTCAATAGCGCACTCATCATCGTGCAAACAATTGGTCACAAAACTGAAGAAACAATGGCTCATGAAAGACTTGGAACTGTATGTATGAGCCTCAGTGAAATGCAGCAAGCAAAAAAACACTTCGAGAAAGCACTCACCATGGCGATAGAAATTGGCGACAGACGAGGAGAAGAAGCAAGTAACGGGAACCTCGGATCTTTGTTTGTTTCCCTTGGCAAATATCAGAAGGCTAAAGAATGTCACAAGAAAGCACTTGCCATTGCGATCGAAATTGGCGACAGAGAAGAAGAAGCAAGAATTAACGACAGCCTCGGAAATGTGTTTTTTTTCCTTGGCAAATATCAGAAGGCCAAAGAATATCACGAGAAAGCACTTGCCATCGCGATAGAAATTGGCGACAAACAAGAAGAAGGAACAAGTAACGGGAACCTCGGAAATGTATTTCATTCCCTTGGCAAATATTACAAGGCTAAGGAATATCACAAGAAAGCACTTGCCATTGCGATAGAAATTGGGGACAGACGAGGAGAAGGAACAACTGCCGGGAGCCTCGGAAATTTATTTCATTCCCTTGGCAAATATAAGACGGCTAAAGAATATCACGAGAAAGCACTTGCCATTGCGATAGAAATTGGCGACAGACAAGGAGAAGCAAGAACTACCGTGAACCTTGGAAATGTGTTCGATTCCCTTGGTGAATTGCAGAAGGCTAAAGAATATTACGAGAAAGCACTTGCCATCGCCATAGAAATTGGCGACAGGCAAGGAGAAGGAACGATTTACGGGACCTTCGGAAATGTGTTTAAATCCCTGGGCGAATATCAGAAGGCCAAAGAATATTACAAGAAATCACTTGCCATCGCGATAGAAATTGGCGACAGACAAGGAGAAGCAAGAACTACCGTGAACCTTGGAGTTGTGTTCGGTTCCCTTGATGAATTGCAGAAGGCTAAAGAATATTTCGAGAAAGCACTTGCCATCGCGATAGAAATTATGGACAGACACGGAGAAGGAATAATTAACGAAAACCTCGGAAAATTGCTTTATTCCCTTTGCAAATACCCGAAGGCTAAAGAATGTGACGAGAAAGCTCTTGCGATCGCGATAGAAATTGGAGACAGGCAAGCAGAAGGAACAAGAAACGCGGACCTCGGAATTGTGTTTAGTTCCCTAGGCGAATATCAGAAGACTAAAGAATATCTCGAGAAAGCTCTTGCGATCGCGATAGAAATTGGAGACAGGTATGCAGAAGGAACAAGCAACAGGGGGCTCGGATATGTGTTTTATTCTCTTGGCAAATATCAGAAGGCTAAAGAATATTACGAGAAGGCACTTGCTATTAAGACAGAAATCGGCGTGACAAAAGGAAGAGAATATTTGAGTCTTGGGGATGTTTATTTTAAGCTTCGAAAAAATCGGCAAGCTAAAGAATATTTCGACAAGGCAATCGGCATCAGTATAGCAAGTGGTGACAGAATACTAGAAGCCAACGCAACAGTAAATTTGGCAGGTATTTTTGCTTCTGTGAATGACAATCAGAAAGCAAAAGAATATTGTGTGAAAGCGCTTACCATCAGCAGAGAATGTAGCGATAGAGATATCGACGCAGGAATTTGTTTAACCATTGCCAATATATACCGATTGCTCGGTGAATGTAACAAGGCAGAAGATTGTTTAGAGAAAGCTTATTCCATAACCAACCAAACTGGATACAAGATGCTTGAGTTTAAAAGCCTTCTCAGTATTACTTTATTAAAGATATCGCAGTCAGAAGTTGTGGAGGCAAAGGAATTTCTTCTTCAATGTATTGCAAAATACGAGCAAATCAGAACTTTTCTGAAAGGAAACAGTGAATTTGAAATCTCTCTGTTGGAGGTACACGGTACTTTTCCCTACCATTTACTCACTGACTTGCTTTGCTATATTGAAAAATTTCGAGAAGCTCTCTATGTTGAGGAACTGGCACGAGCAAGAGTCCTCGCAGAATTAATGGCAGACAAGTACTCCGTGGAAAGCCACATCTCAGCCGATCCACAATCATGGTTCGGGATTGAAAACATCGTGAGGAGAGAAAGTGACTGTGTTTTCCTGTACATTTCGTACAGAGAGCGGCATCTTCTTCTCTGGGTATTGAAAGCAAATGGAGACACTTGCTTTCGCAAAACTGACAAAGTGGAACTAGACACTCTTATTGACGAGCAAGTTTGCGATGTGGAAGGAATTTTCAAAAAGAGCGCCGCTGGCTTCGGCGTTTTACCCAAAGAAAACTGCGAAGATCGATCTTTGGATGACAACGTGACGACATCTCTTCATAAGGAGAGCCGAGCAAATTTGCAAGGTGAACAAACCAAAGATACTGAAAGAATTCATAAATTGTCCTACAAATGGATCGTTGCACCCGTGGCAGACTTACTTACAGAGCCCGAAATCATCATTGTGCCGGATCGTTTTTCGTACCGAGTCCCATTTGCTGCCTTGCGTGATGAATCTGCCGGAAAGTATTTATCGGAGAAGTACAGAATCCGTATCGTCCCTTCACTGACGACTCTCCGAATCATTCAAGAATGTCCAGCGGACTATCACAGTCTAACTGATGCGCTGGTTGTGGGTGATCCTACGGTCGGCGAAGTGCAGTACAATGGAGATCTCACTGAAATTACACCATTGCCCTGTGCAAGAAAGGAAGCAGAGATGGTTGGTCGACTGCTGGGCGTTCAGCCTTTGTTAGGAAGTCGCGCAACAAAGCAGGCAGTACTTCAAGCGATACCTTCGGTAAGTCTGATACATCTTGCCGCACATGGAAATGCCGAAAGAGGAGAGATTGCCCTCTCTCCTCAACGCACTACTAACCATACTCCTCAAGAGGAAGACTACCTCCTGACTATGTCCGAAATTCAAGGAGTTCAAGTGCGAGCTAAACTGGTAGTACTCAGCTGTTGTCACAGTGGGCGTGGATTGGTTAAAAAGGAAGGAGTCCTTGGAATCGCTCGTGCATTCTTAGCATCCGGTGCACGTTCAGTGTTGGTAGCATCGTGGGCTATAGAAGACGAAGCAACGGAGCAGCTCATGAATCATTTCTACGAACACTTTGTGCGTGGAGAAAGTGCCAGTGAGTCTCTTCACCAGGCCGTTCAATGGTTGAGAAGCAATGGTTTCCCCGAACCTTCCCAATGGGCTCCATTTGTGCTGCTGGGGGATAACGTGACACTTGATTTTACGAAAAAAGGGTAAGTGTGATTATAATGAGCAATTTCCTATAATAAACCAATCAGCACACTTAACTTTTTTAGTTCAACACACAATAGTCAGTTTTTGTCAGTTTCTGTTTGTTTGTTTTTGTCTTCGTCTTTCATCTATAAAATTTCAAGAAAAAGAAGACGATTTTATTTAGGCTCAGAGCCAGTAGATTTTTTAATCGTTTCCGCAATTGGCCTTGAAAAAGAATTTATTTTATATGTGAGATATTGAGAAATAACTGCTGCAGGTTGATACGATGCTAGATGCTATGACGATAAAAGTGATCTGAGAAACTTAAGCTGACCCCAAAAAAGTTGTAAAAGATCAGCACAATATTTATTAAAGCATAATTTTAAACTCACTTTCGCATCAATCATGGTATCTTCGAAAATATTTTGGACAGGTTGGAAAATGATAGCCAATGACATTGAAGGAGAAAGTAATTTCTTTCAAATTAACTTGATCCGTTTGCTTATAAGTTAAAATGGTAACAAATGTAGAATGTTTGTTTTTAGGAAAGAAGAACTCAAGGAGGACAACAATGAATCAAAGATTGGAGCAGAGTGACGACTGATCCGACATAAAGATCATCCTTCCTTTTATCTTTCATTTATCGTCTTTAAATGGACACTGGTATTACTTTGTATAGACGTTTTAAGAGTGAATGTCTCTAAAAATCAAAGAAAAATAACAAAATCGCGGACATGGTAAAAAAATCATTTCGTCCCATTTTTTGTCTACAGGTAGCTATAGGTACTACTTAAAGTGAAGTGTGGTTAGTTTCTGTAAATATTCATTTTAACGGAAATAAACTGATACTAATTGCATGATCGAAAATGAGTGCCTGCGAGCTCTAAATTATGCAGTTTTCAGGCCGTCCTTGCATGAACTAAAATACAACAGCAGGACTTCTCTAGCTATAAATATATACATGTGGCCTTCCATTACCAAGATATAGTGATATTTTTTGTATCGTGTCCTTCCTGACGAAACCACGGGTTAATTACCAGTGGACGTGTTCGCCATACTTAATTCATGCCAAACCCGGCCTAATGTAGTGTGGCAAAAATGCATGTGGTAGTTTCTCAAAATCTCCAGCAATACTATCACGAGGGCTTATAAGGTGGGTCTTCAAATTCATCATTTCATTTTTCTGGTATCTTCCGCTGTTTTGATGTACCAAACTTCGCTAAAATTGTAAATGGCGCCATATTGAAATGAACAAAATCAACATTGCAATGACACAAGCAAAGCATTGTTTGAGTCGCAGCCGCACTTAGCTTTTTATTTTTGCTTTGACATAAATAGTTCCTTACCTTAGAAATCTTTTATAGGCCCTTGTTATTCCGCTTGGAAGATATTTTCGAAATACTGTCCTTTGCAATTTGGTGTGAAGGTGGCCGACCGGCTAACTCGTTGAAGCCACTGAGCCGGGATGAGTAAAATAAAGTTATTTGTTGTTGTCATTTTCTACAGCGCGTCACAACTCAGTTACGTTTAGTCTACTTTGATCTTAATTTTGATTTTATTGACGTCTCACACAAAAAGGGTCCCGTACAAAACGGCAGGTAACGCTAGCGATTTGCCGGATGTTAATTTTTCACAGGTTCCTGTCACTCTGCGTGACATATGATAATCTGTCACGTAACGAGATCAACAAACAATTCATTCTGCCTCACATATAAGATCTAAACAAATATATTGCCATCATGAACGAGAACGATACAACAAAGAAATAGACTTTACAAAATTTCACAAATATAAACCGTACAGTGAAAACCTTTTGGAACGAAAATAACCATACAATTTTCCCACGGAAAACAAATGTGATGGGTTAATGCGGGTATCAGCGGCCATCCCGAGGGGTCGACCCCCGGGCAACCCAAGGGCAACCCACGGGCTTAGCAGGGGATTTGTAGCAAAGGCATGCCCCGCACGCGAGGCATTAGAGCGCTTTTGCGTTTTTGGCAAAATACCCTGGGGCCATACCCACGGGATTTGCACGTAATCTGCTGTCTCAACGTTCAGCGGTTTTCAGCTGTGTACCATGGTCAAGTATTGTGCTGTTGCTCTGTGCCGTAATGGGAGTAGGAAACGACCTGATCTCAGTTATTTTTGCTTTCCTACAAGGCCCAATGAGCGTAAGAAGTGGGAGGTTTTTTGTAAGCGAGCGGATAAAAAATTCAAGACACTCGGCGATCCAAGAATCTGTTCATTGCATTTTAAGGAAAGCGACATCGAGATTCCAATTTCATACGGTTAGTTCGCATTCGAAGCGTCTTGCCGATAGGAAGAGACAGTGTGATGAACAACCGCAAGCCGCAAGCAATGAGAATTGAACCTGTAAGATTAGAACATTTTGTTTCTTTCATAACGAGTCCACACGTTACTCAAGATGTTCCTTTCGGGGAAAAACTTCTAAAATTGTCGACTGGCGAGATCATAAAAACACCCAATCTTATCAGAACAATGATACCAGAGCGTATTGTCCAATAGTATCAACAATACTGCTGTGAAACCAACTTTGAGCCTATGAGTAAGAGAACTCTACAGAGAGTTTGGGCCGTGTGTTCTTCATCTGCTCGCAAGTCTCTGCAAGGACTTGATAACTTTTCAGCATCAGGAATGGAAGCAGTTGATGCTATAGAAAAACTCGTAGACAAGCTTGTTGACTGTGGCAAGACTCAGCAATGAGCGAGGGAAATTAAGCAGCAACTTCGTTTTTCGAAGCAGTACCTAAAGGGCGACTACAATGTGGGTGCATATTTTATAATTATGCGTTGCCTTTGCAGAAGTGATGTACTCTGAACTTCTTACTATGATTCACTGCTACCTCTTTCTTTCCCTCCAAGTCTTCTTTATGCTTAATTGATGAAACAACAGTTTATAATTCACTGTAATACGCTTACACACATGTACACAACGCTGAGAATCGATTAAGTAATCTTTTTGAAATGTCGATCATATGCGCATGCAATGCTTTGTAAATATACATTGAATCACGCGCTTGTCATTTTACTTTTTATTTTAGGTACATACAGTGGAGGCCTTAAAGATTCCCGATCATTGTCGAATTTACGCGCTAAGTGATCCGAGCAATGCTGAACTTCGGGGCTCCTGCAACCATCTCCACAATGAGTCATATGAGCAGTGTTATGAGTTACAGGAAGTATTGTGTACCATAGAAGATGAGTGTTCAAGTGCGCTCTCGTCAGCAGAAGATCAAGCTGACATGCAACTTACCATCAAACAGGCAAGGGATGATATCATTTGCTGGAAAGCCCATCAGCTACGTTCAGTCCACCAAGCTGAGGCGAAGCATTCAGTTTTAGCCAAACTCGACAGCCGATCGGTGTTGTTAGTCCAGGACTGGGCAATGAAATA